TTATATGGAGTCTTGCTCTGTTACCAGGCTGGAGTGCAGTGGCACAACCTCGGCTCACTGCAACCTCCACCTCCTGGTTCAAGTGATTTCCCCTACCTCAGCCTCCCAAGTAGCTGGGACTACAGGTGTGTGCTACCACGCCCGGCTAATTTTTTGTATTTTTAGCAGAGATGGGGTTTCACCAAGTTGGCCAGGATGATCTTGATCTCCTGACTTCATGATCCACTGCCTCGGCCACCCAAAGTGCTGGGATTACAAGCATGAGCCACAGCGCCTGGCCCGACTTTATTTTATTTTTCTGAGATAGAGTCTCGCTCTGTTGCCCAGGCTGGAGTGCAGTGGTGCAATCTCGGCTCACTGCAACCTCCACCTTTCAGGTTCAAGTGATTCTTCTGTCTCAGCCTCCCCAGTATCTGGGATTACAGGCGCCCACCACCACCATGCCTGGCTAACTTTTATATTTTTAGTAGAGATGTGGTTTTACCATGTTAATCAGACTGGTCTTCAACTCTTGACCTCAAGTGGTCTGTCCACCTCAGCCTCCCAAAGTGCTGGGATTACAGGTGTGAGCCACCATGGCCAGCCACTATTGACTTTATAACATGAGTATATGATGTTTTCAGCTAGGACATGACAACTCAAAACATTAACCTAACTCCATAGTCAGTATGCCAAAGGATTTGTTTTTACTTGACTTACAGTAATAAAAATAATACCATGTGTTAATATATGTATATAGTTCCTTAGAGCTCAAAGTAATTTAACTTATCCTAGTCATAATATATGTTTTAAAAAGGGAAGACTGAGGTACAAATGATATGAAAAAAACATGCTATTGTGCAGGAACTGTAGTACAAAGAAAGAAAATCCAGTGCTAGTTGTTCCAATGCTTTCTCCCCCTACTAGTGATTGTGGCATAAGTGGATGTGATTTTTCTTCATGACATCCTTTCCCTGTTCATAATTAAGAAGCTGGACCTGTGTATTGGATTCTGCTTGAATTCAATCAACATAAATTCTGTTCTTTACTATTTGCTTTTTGTTTTGTTTTGTTTTGCTCTGTAGAGATAGGGTCTCACTCTGTTGTTGAGGCTGGAGTGCAATGGCCTGATCATGGCTCACTGTAGCCTTGAGCTCCCAGACTCAGGTGATCCTCCCACCTCAGCCTCCTGAGTAACTGGGATTGCAGGTGTGTGCCACCATGCCCAACTAATTTTTGTTGTTCTTTTTTTGTTTTTGAGAGAGAGGATCTCACTCTTTCCCAGGCTAGAGTGCAGTGGCATAATCTCAACTCACTGCAGCCTCAAACTCCCAGGTTCAAGTGATCCTCCCTCAGCCTCCTGAGTACCTAGGACTACAGGCACATACCACCATGCCCAGCTAATTTTGGTTTTGTTTTGTTTTCGGTAAAGACAGGGTTTCATCATGTTGCCCAGGCTTGTCTCAAACTCCTGTGCTCAAGCAATCCTCCCGCCTCAGCCTCCCAAAGTGCTGCGATTATAGGCATGTGCCACCACACCCAGACTTGCTAATTTTCTGTTTTAAGTTTTCATAGAGACCAGGATTTTGCTTTGTTTCGCAGGCTGGTCTTGAACTCCTGGGCTTAAGCGATCCTCCTGCCTCAGTCTCCCAAAGTGCTAGGGTTATAGGCTTGAGCCACTGCACCCAACCTATATGTGTTAAGGTACATATTTTGGCATGATCGGAAACATCACATTAAGGGTACATATTATGCTATGCCTGAATAATATTACATGACCTCTGAGAGCCCCCAGTTCAAAAAAAGCAAGATGTTGTCTTTTCTGCTTTGGGTAAAAATAGTTGCTTTGATTATGCTTGGAGTATGTTTGCTTCTTTATCCAGCTACCATCTTCTTACTTCTAGTTAGTTCCATTACATCCTGGATTTCTTGCCTTGGAGGTGTATGATCTTTGTTTGGCTTTCTTGGGTCCAGCAACAGCCCATCTCAGTGTGTCAGACATACAAGAGCTGGAGCTTGATCTGATTGATAAGGTGAGACATCTTTGCTTTATCTCAGAAATTAGGCAAGTCTTATTTTTAGTCCCCAGCAACCCTTAATATAGTCTCTGCTCAGCTACTGTGTGTGTATACCAGGACTTCTGGTAATGTTAATGGAAATACCTGCCCTTAAAGAACAACATTTCCTGGCTGGGCACAGTGGCTCATGCCTGAAATCCCAGCACTCACCAACATGGAGACCAGCCTGACCAACATGGAGAAACCCTGTCTCTACTAAAAATACAAAATTAGTTGGCTGTTGGTGGTCATGCCTGTAATCCCAGCCACTCGGGAGGCTGAGGCAGGAGAATCACTTGAACCTGGGAGGTGGAGGTTGCGGTGAGCTGAGATCACGCCATTGCACTCCAGCCTGGGCAACAAGAGTGAAACTCCATCTCAAAAAAAAAAAAAAAAGAAAGAAAGAAAGAAAGAAAACATTTCAACATTAAACAGATGAAGATAAATAGACTGTTAAAGAAAAACTTAATGCACATAAATTAAACGTATTTGATTAAAGCCTGACCAGAATCACTTAGCATGAAAAAAAAAGTATGCTGTCCTCTAAGAGTTAGACTGCCATTGGTGAATAAGACACCTTTACTAAAATCTTTTTCTTTTTTCTTTTATTTTTTTTTCTTGTCAAGTCCTAGGGCTTAAAAATCTTTTTCTTTTTAACTACTAGGTTGAAGTAGGAAAAACTGTGTTAGTGACTGTGAGGGTTCTTGGCTCTTCCAAACGCCCATTCCTAAATAAATACTTCAGAAACATGGAGCTCAAACTGCAGTTGGCTTCTGCCATTGTCACCCTGACGTAAGTACCATTTCTTTTTTTTTTTTTTTTTAGTAGAGTATCATCTGCTAAAGTACCATTTCAATACTTCCTTCTCCCTATGCATAATATCATAAAACTCTCTCTCCTTGTAACCTAGTCAGCTTTCCCTTAGATTATTTCAGATTTTCTCCCTTCCTTTTTTGTTAGAATATATTTCAGCCCATATACTCTGTTCCCATATTCAACTTTCTACAAAATACCCATTTGAGCCTGGCATGAGGGTCCATGGCTGTAGTCCCAGCTACTCAGGATGCTAGGGCGGGGGACTCACTTGAGCCCAGGAGCAAGAGGCTATGATATGCTATAATTGCACCTGTGAATAGCCACTGCACTGAGCAACATAGCAAGGCCCCCATCTCTTAAAATACACACACACACTTGATGTTCTCAGATGCCTTGTTTTGGGGCTAAGATCATGTGTCATTAATATTTCCATTTTCTGAAACATTTCCTTGGATGATATCCTTTGCGGGTACTTCAGGCTAGAGGACCCTTCAAAAATATATTTAGAGACAGAGGTACTGGTAGTCCCTCTGAGAAAGGAGAAATTCAGGAATTCCAGGCAATTTAGTATTTGCAATTTTACCAGTCTATGTTTATATTTCCTTATTTCTCTGGAGCCTTAGAACAAATTTTTGCCTCTCAGGAGCCTTCCGCCATTCCCATGAAATTTGTCTGTACTCTGGAAAATTATTTTCTGGCAATTCCCCCAACCCAGAGTTAAAATGAGCAAAAAATGTTAAGCACCTTGGAAAGATACACCAATGGCCACTCTCAGAACCTAATTTTGGCCAGGCATGGTGGCTCATGCTGTAATCCCAGCACGATGAGAGGCTGTGGCAGGCGAATTGCTTGAATCCAAAATTCAAGACCAGCCAGGGCAACACAGTGAGACCCCAGGTCTACAAAAAAAACATAAGAAAATTAGCCAGCCATGGTGGTATGTACTTGTAGTCCCAGTTACTTGGGAAGCTGAGGTGGGAGGATACCTTAAGTCTGGGAGGTTGAGGCTGCAGTGAGCTGAGATCATGCCACTGCACTCCAGCCTCAGCAACAGAGTAAGACCCTGTCTCAAAACAAAACAAAAATCTTTCTCACTTGAGAATACATGGGTTTTTGCAGGCTAATGGAGGAACAAGACAAATACTCTGAAAATTATATCCTTCGAGCGATCACTGTTGGGCAAACCACACTTGTGGCTATTGCCAGGGACAAGATGGGAAGAAAACACACATCAGCTCCTCAGCACATTGAAGTAAGGAAATTATCTCACCCAAAATTTGTGCTTTTTCTTGTAAAGTTTATTCTCTATAGGTTTATTGCCAAGTTAAAAACGAGGAATCTGAGGCCAGCACAAGAAAATTAGATGCCAATTTATTCAGCTCCCAGGCGAGGTTCTGTGATCCCAGGCAGAGGGACCAGGGAAGTCGTGCTCAACTCCTCTCAGGAGTGGGGTTTTATAGGGAGTGAAGGCGTTTGATTGGATTTGGAGAAACAGGATGTGGACAGGGTGTGCTGCTATTGGTAGGTAGGTGGGATTTCCGGCGAGTGGGCTAAGTGCTGAGTGCAGAGGGATTTCCAAGGGCGGGGTTAGGTGCCGAGTGCAGAGGGATTTCCAAGGCGGGCTAGGTGCCAAGTGCAGAGGGGATTTCCAAGGGTGGGGTTAGGTGCCGAGTGCAGAGGGGATTTCCAAGGCGGAGCTAGATGAGGGGCATATTCTGATAATGTAATTTTCAAGCAGGGAGGGAGATGGGCGTGTCCGAACTCCCAGCGAGGCAACCAGCCTTACATTTCTTGCTTAACATCATTTGTCTTTTTCTGTTGGTTTATATAAGTTAAAAATCATCTGACTGGCTGGGCACAGTGGCTCACACCACCATGTGAGCACTTTGGGAGGCTGAGGTAGGAACATCACTTAAGCCCAGGAGTATGAAACTAGCCTGGGCAACATAGAGTCCACCTCTACAAAACATAAAAGTAAAATAAAATAAATTAGCAGCCGGGCGCGGTGGCTCACACCTGTAATCCCAGCACTTTGGGAGGCCGAGGCAGGTGGATCACTTGAGGACAGGCGTTCAAGACCAGCCTGGCCAACATAGTGAAACCCCATCTCTACTAAAAATACAAAAAATTAGCCGGGCATGGTGGTGAGTTCTTGTAATCCCAGCTACTCAGGAGGCTGACACAGGAGAATAGCTTGAACTCAGGAGGCGGAGGTTGCAGTGAGCCGAGATCGCACCACTGTACTCCAGCCTGGGTGACAGAGTGAAACTCCATATGAAAAAAAAAGAAATTAGCCAGGCATGGTGGTACACACCTCTGGTCCCAGCCACTCAGGACCGAAGCAGGAGGACTGCTTGAGCCCAGCCATTCGAGGCTGCAGTGAGCTGTGATCATGCCACTGCTCTCCAGCATAGGCAACAGAGCAAGACTCTGTTTAAAAAAAAAAAATTAAAAAAAAAATTTTTTTTTGATGACCATGATTACATATTATAAAATTGACTCTAGTTAGTTACTGTTGTCCTTTTGGTTTTCTTCTTCAAGGTGTTTCCTCCATTCAGACTTCTTCCAGAGAAAATGACACTGATTCCAACAAATATGATGCAGGTAAACTTAAAGGCAGAAAAATAAGATTTACATTTTATCTTTACCTCTCTCTCTGTTACACACACACACACACACACACACACACCCCTCTTCCTATTGATCTCTTATCTAGTCTCACCCAAGTACTACTGGATCTGATAAAGAACAAGATTAGTATTTTCCCTGACCCATGATGTATATCATATAAAGACTCTTAGAATCCCATGGATCATTTGCGGTACTTCCATTTTTTCTACATTTGAGTCGATATGGCATATGTTATTCAAGAAATGGGAGAATAGTGGCCGGGCGCGGTGGCTCAAGCCTGTAATCCCAGCACTTTGGGAGGCCGAGGCGGGTGGATCACGAGGTCAAGAGATCGAGACTATCCTGGTCAACATGGTGAAACCCCGTCTC